TATATATATATATATATATATATTTATAAAATCTTGAGGAATAAGAGTTACCTTGAAATAGGGCCAAAAACGAGATTCTGATTTAACCTTATCAGGTAGATCAGTAGGTGGTGATGCCATCAAGCATGATACTAAAGTTACAAGGGAATTTAATGTTGTATTAAAACATACATTGATAATCTATCTATTTTGAATGATCAAATCTTACAGTTGCAACAGAGTATCGTTAATTCTGACTCATCGTGAGGAGAAAAATAGCAATCACCTTCTAAACATTGATGTGGTATGTGTCTTGTATATGACCCTGCTCTATCAAGATATTGCATAACTTCATGAAGCAATTTGCGGACATGAGGTAAATTCTACGAAAATCTTGTGGATGATTCTCCATCTTGCATTGCAAGTATGCAAGATCAAGATCTAGGGTCGAGGATGTCGGAGACCAAGCGTATCTGCTATGAACTCCTGTGATAGAAGTCCTGGTATCTTCGTGATCAAATTTGCAACCTCATCAGCTAACACGATTATGCAAATCAAAAGATTATCGTCGAAGTCCTCATGATGAAAATATAAAATGGGCAAATTTTAATCTTTCTCCATCTTATTAATTTACATAACCAATGAAATATAATCAATTTACATGACACTTATGTGCGTTGAAATAAAGAAAGCACTCTGTGACCTGCACACATGGGAACTCAACATATTTAAAATGTGTATAGCTCATTTTATTGGAAAAATACTGATGCCTTTTAACATGTATGCTTTTTATCCATTTTCCCATTTAATTTCTTCAATGGTTTCTTTATGCATACATGAAAGATTTACCAAAATAGTGATCTAAATCTAACATAAATCAATCATAAAAATGAAGAGGACATAACACATAAAATCTGATAATATTCAGGTTGAGAGTGCAAAATTTATCAAATATGATTCATGTTCAAAAAGGAAAAAAAGATACGTTAGCATGCTTCTCTTTCTTAGAACTTCTTTGCATTTGTCACAATATTCAAGTAAGATATAACCTATAAACTGTACTCAACTATAACCACTAGCAAATTCATGAATAAAAGCACATGAAGGTTAATATAGTATAGAAATAATAGAGCGCTATATAACCTGCAAATAAGAATAGTTTCGAAATACTTTAATTCGGTGGTTTTGACAACATGAAATGTCTCATAATCCTAACACCATAACAAATCTAAAAAAAACATAGCAATATCCTAAATTTCTAAACTACGCCCGCTAAACATCTCTTCCAAAGAGATCGGAATCATAGTACACACCATTTGGATCAGAATTAGCTCGAGTCTCATCCTTACCATTATTCATCATTTCACCGTTCAACTTAAAATGTAGAAACTCATAGCAGTCTTTTGCATCCATATCAATAAAGTCATCCTTCATGTCCTGTGGAATATTATCACTGAGTATTTTTTATTTTTATGGCTTAGTCAATTCAGGAGTAGACATAACAGCGTCAATCCATTCTTTATTCCGACTCTTTCTTATCTTTCTCAACTCGTCAACTAACTTATGAAAATTTTTATCTACAGTGACAACTCTCTCTCCTACCTCTTGTAAGGAGAACTAGGAACAAAATTGCTGATAATGGATAGCGTCGCGACGAGGTACCGTTAAGGCTATTTGTGCCTATAACGGCAAAATAGCGGCAAATAGTGACTAGTCAAATAACAGTCAAATATTAACATATTTAAATATAATATTCTAAAAAATATGAAACATT